AGGTGCGCCAGGGCTTGGTGACCCTTCGCAACAAACCTGGCCGCGCAGAGAAGATCTTGGAAGCTTTTGAGGAGGTAGACGCCCCGGAAGCCATAACGAGACATCAGATTCAAGTCTTGCATGGTTTGCTGAATTTCGCTGCGGGATTTTTAGCAGGGCGATCGTTGAAGCACGTGTGCTACGATCTCCTTGAACTTCTTGAATGGAGAGGGACTTTGGCTTTCGCAAAGCTGAAGGAGCTGGCAAGACGAACTCGTGAGATCCTTGAAGGGTCCCCTCCACGACTTCTGTCATGCTTGTTCGCCCCCGATCCCATTTTGATCTGGACTGACGGGTCATGGGAGAGTGGCGTCGCTGGTATCGGTGCTTGTGTGTGGGACCCTCTGTCTTCAGCGGGACGAGTCTTTGCAGGCGAAGCTCCGTCTTGGGCTCTCGACGCTTGGAGGGCTGACTTCGACACCGACCAGGAACCTCAGCTAATCTGTCACATTGAACTCTTTGTGATGGTGACGATCAGATGGATGCTCGCCGAGCGTCTGTTGAACAGGCGGGTTATCCTGTTTGTCGACAACGAGTCGGCACGGTTTGCAATCTTGAAGGGAGGCAGCCACAGCCGAGGTATGAGTGATTTGGTGAGGGCGTTTGATCGCCCAGATCTCAAACACCCGATGCTCTATTGGGTGGATAGAGTACCGTCGTACAGCAACGTGGCAGACGGACCTTCGCGCAAAGACTGTCGGTGCGCTCTTAGTCTTATGCGCACCACTGTGGTTGAGGAGTTCTTCTGGACGGAGCCTCTCAGAGCTTTGATTTCGGCAGACTTGGCAAGGCGCAAAAGGAAGGGGGTGTGACCGCGCCCTAACCTCGTGTGCCGATCAGCCGAGATCGGGAGGTGCAAAACTTTTAATGTGGTGGCCGGCACTTGTGATTCCCCTTCGTTCGCTTCGAGCGAAAAGGAGCCTTGCATGTTCTCATGTTGTCTTACCTTGCGAGGAATATGAGATTTATATTTGAAGATTCTTTTTGACTGATATTTATATTATGGGAGTGATAGCTCGTTATATATTCGTCATTTATGAAACCTTTGAAGCTTTGTGGACGGGAGGGTGTTGGCAGTTACTCGTAGCGGTCGACCAAGATCACAGGATGTTTTGACGAAAGCTGGAGTTGACGTCTGCGTTCGTGTCGCGCTCTCAGACTCTAAAAAAAGTTGGCTTGACGCATTGACAAGATGTCCCCAATATGGTGTATCCCTCGTAAAGCGTTTGCCGGCCATACCGAGGACGTTTCGCAGGCGTGTCCGGAAGGCTCCGCTGTGGGAGGGGAGCATGAGTGCCGCCTGTGACAAGCGAAAGTGTGTCACGATGTGCAGGTTGGTCAGAATCCTCGCCTGGCAGCACGTGCTTGGCGCCGGCGTGGCACCAGCCTACACGGAGTTGCCCGAAGCAGTTATCGCTGGGTGCAGCGATTGCTGCAGCTGTGAAGCAGCCGTACTTGTTGAAGCCTGTCGTAATTTCTAGCAGGTGGGCTGTCGGCAAGAGAAAAGCTTGGTGCGACGGCGTGATATGTAAGAAGATGCGCGTGACGATTTCTGCTTGACTGCAGACATTGCAGCCGCGTGCAGTCTGAGCTGGCCTTGTTCTCGAGCTGCGTCTGAGCCGGCCCCTAGTCTTGCTGACTGGCCAGCTCCAGCGTTGGCGTGCTCTCCTGACTTCGGTGCCGCGATGCATCAACCTATCGGAAGTGGTCCCTCGCCGTGTCTTGTGTCGTCTGCAAGGTGTGTCGTGCCCGACAGGTGAGTTCTCGGTGTTGTGTAATTTTAATGCGTGTGCCGTTTTGCGGTGTGGTTTCACGTGTGCAGGTTGGGAGCTAGGCAAACTGGGGCATTGTGAGGACGTCTTGCCTTATTCCATGTGAGACAGGAGGACACAGGATCCTGTCTTCTGTTTCCAGGCTCCTGCAGGATACACCGGACAGTGCCCAGTCCGGATGAAATTAGCGATGTTGAGCGCTCACGAGAAAACGGCCGTTGCTCAGCGGTGCCACGTGCTCTGGCCATGCCGCGTCCTTTGAAGTTCGAAGTGGACGAGTTAGCGCCAAGGATACTGTGCAACCAAGTTTGTCCGGGCTCGAAAGTCCAGGTCTTGTTGGGTGATTTCTCACTGCGCAAGGTTTAACACAAAGTCTGTTGCTGTTGTGTGCGCAGGGCACGCTTGGTGGGGTGTTTGTCTTGGGGCTTGGTGGGCTAGGCCAAG